CTCGATCGGTTTTTCTTTGCGTCCTAGATAACCGTGTTCCTAAGCCTCCAATAGAATTGTTCATTCTGTGCTTCGAAAGGGTTCTCCGGCGCAACTGGGGTTGGCAATTCATTAATCTGTGTCTGCGTATCGCGAGCGGAGCGGTTAACAGGAGTGCTTCGGACATTTGGAATTGGATCAGTCAGAATCACGACTTAAATTTTGGGGCAAATAGGAAATACCGGGCTTGTCCATATGTTGCTGAGGAACGCTTTATTACCGCACCCTTACAATAGCGAAGAGTTCCGAAACCTAGCCAAGGACTATTCCAAACTTGTCCACCAGCCCCGGACAGTTCCGCTTTCCCTCTGGTTAGGCCCGAATAGAGTCCGGGCCGAATCGGAGTCCGGACCGGACAGTTCCGTTTCTTGGTTTCTGAACCACTCAAAGTCAAGGACTGTCCGAAAGAGTCCTGCCTAGGTGCAGCTGGCCCGGGCCCGGGCCGAGCCGGGGCGCCCGGACGTCCCGGCAACTGGGTACGCGGAAAACGCCGCTCGCCGGCGTGCCGAAGCAAGCCGAAGGCCCGAAGGGTCGCCGAGGTTACCTGGCGCCCTGGCGGACGCGGCCAGAGATGCAGTTTTCGCCAGTTTTCGGCGCGCTGTTGAGCGAGTCACATCGCACAGCAGCGCATCTGTGATCAGTGAACATAGAGGAACGCGCACAAGTCACATCTACTTTCCACTCGTTACTTTCTCGGAGCGATGTTCAGGCGATTCGCGACTGTTCTAGAAGTAATTTTTGGTGAGGTGTCGTGTACGGCGTTTTCCTAAACATTGATCGAATTTGAGTGCGTTGCTGTACAAAGTGTCCCAAACAAACAACTATCCGCTGGCTGCTGGCTACCGCAAGTGTGTGTGTCTCTCAAACTTGAAGGACGGGCGGTGAGAGGGTGGGAGGTGTATTATTTTATTCGCCTCTCCTCTTTCACCCTCGTCCCCAAGTGTTCCCATCATTTGCAAACAGCTTCAACGAGTTCGCTTGTGCAGGCATGTACTTGCAGGTATGCTACAGTTAGTGCATGATCAAAATTTGTGTGTAATATTCCACTGGAGGCTGTAAATCGCGTCCCTTGCCGTGTCTGACCGGCCACCGTGCCCCGAGCCGAGTCGAGCCGAGCCGCCACGGCAGTGGTGGCCGCCCAGCCGAGCCAGGTAGGGTGAGCCCAACCGGCGCTAGGGCGCGCTCCCGCGGAAAATCCCCGGCCGGCCGGCCGGCCGAAGCAACCTGCGTCCGAAGGGAAAGGGGAAGGGGGAAAGGGAGGGGCGAGGGGCAGCAGGCTGGTGCATTTGTTCGGACTGTCCGTTTTTCGACTAGCGTTGGTACTCAGGACAAGTCCGGAATCTTTCTGACTTTGGTCTTTTTCAATGTTTTTGGGAACTGTCCGAGGGCGAATTTAGGAACTGTCCCGGTCCGACTTTTGGAGCCGTTTCGGACGGTCCGCAAACGGTTGTTTTTGGCTGCTTTTCGGACTCCAACATTTTCGTACGGGCATTTATGCATGTTGATTTCTTAATTTGTTTATCAAGAACCTATAAAGCCCCAATCCGACTGACTCACTCACTGACTCACTCACTCACTCACTCATAGAAATGTTTGGGGTGAAGGAGTGGTCGTAGAGACTTGCGGTTTTTTCCATTCAATTCCAAATTTTATGGGAAAATTGGGAAAAATCCCAAAAGTTGAAAATTCCTCACCGTTTCCGAGAAAACCTACTTTATCTACAAAAAAGGGGAACAAATTTCTCACCGTTTCCGAGCAAACCTACTCAATCTTCAAAAAAGGGGACCGACCGACTAAAAATTTTTATTCGCCCCATCGGTAGGTCTGGTCGAGACATTTCCGAATCTGTGCCGCAATCCGGTCTCCGTCACTGGCAACATCCTCAAAAAAACGATTAAATAGGCCTAAATTCAACAAAATCCACTCAATCTTCAAAAAAGGGGACTGACCGACTAAAAATTTTTATTCGCCCCATCGGTAGGTCTGGTCGAGACATTTCCGAAACTGTGCCGCAATCGGGTCCCCGCCACCGGCAACATCCTCAAAAAACGATTTAATAGGCCTAAATTCAACAAAATCCACTCAATCTTCAAAAAAGGGGACCGACCGACTAAAAATTTTTATTCGCCCCATCGGTAGGTCTGGTCGAGACATTTCCGAAACTGTGCCGCAATCGGGTCCCCGTCACCGGCAACATCCTCAAAAACGATTAAATAGGCCTAAATTCAACAAAATCCACTCAATCTTCAAAAATAGGGACCGACCGACTAAAATTTTTTATTCGCCCCATCGGTAGGTCTGGTCGAGACATTTCCGAAACTGTGCCGCAATCGGGTCCCCGTCACCAAAAACATCCTCAAAAACGATTAAATAGGCCTAAATTCAACAAAATCCACTCAATCTTCAAAAAAGGGGACCGACCGACTAAAAATTTTTATTCGCCCCATCGGTAGGTCTGGTCGAGACATTTCCGAAACTGTGCCGCAATCGGGTCCCCGTCACCGGCAACATCCTCAAAAACGATTAAATAGGCCTAAATTCAACAAAATCCACTCAATCTTCAAAAAAGGGGACCGACCGACTAAAAATTTTTATTCACCCCATCGGTAGGTCTGGTCCAGACATTTCCGAAACTGTGCCGCAATCGGGTTCCCGTCACCGGCAACATCCTCAAAAAACGATTAAATAGGCCTAAATTCAACAAAACCCACTCAATCTTCAAAAAAGGGGACCGACCGACTAAAATTTTTTATTCGCCCCATCGGTAGGTCTGGTCAAGACATTTCCGAAACTGTGCCGCAATCGGGTCTCCGTCACTGGCAACATCCTCAAAAAAACGATTAAATAGGCCTAAATTCAACAAAATCCACTCAATCTTCAAAAAAGGGTAGGGGAGCGATTCTCACGTTTCGGGGTAGTTTCGTTTCTTCTGACTCCTGTGCCCAAACGAGCGCAGATATCGACATGGGGTTTGTTTCTGATGTTAGGGAGGGCCATTGCCCACTAAACGCACACATTTCGAAAAGTTCGTGTTCGTTGGATTGGTCTACGTAGCGTTTGGAATACCCCAAATGTAACTTCCGTGATTGTCCAAAGAGAACATACTCGAACTTTCCGCCCCCAGTGTGGCGGTGTGGTTCGAAAATGCTGCCAACTGTCGATGGGGATTCGAAGCTTGGCATGTCTCGAGCTAATTTCAACCGAAGACCAATACGCCAGACTTCTTTCGAAGGTACTTATGCTGCAACGAAAAATGTCCTCCGTATATTCAATTTCACTACACAAATTTCGAAAAGGCAGCTCTGGACTTCTCCCCAAGCCCAATTTTTAACTTTCCATGACACAAGCCATCAAAGTGAAGTCCCTGGGATATAATTGCATGGGTCGCGGAAATCTAAGATGCTGTACACGGTATCAAAGCGGGCTGGAGCATTATAAAATGGTGTGTATCAACAATTACCCGTAACTTCCGTGGCACCCTTTACCCAATGTTGCAGCAGCAGTAGGTGAAAAAAATTTCCGCTTTAATGTCGGCCTTAGAGTATCATTTCACCCTGGAACGACTTTTAAGCCACAGCAAGCCCGAGTCAGCCGTTAAAGCCGATTTTCACACTTTGTAACTTCCGTGATAACGTAATTTCCGTGATCAAAACACCCACTAAAACGTATGGGAATACCTTATGGCCCATGTTTTTAGGAAGATAGTACAAGGTCTTTACTATAAATACCATTTCCATAACTCTAGTATCATCCAGGACCCCAATAATCAGAAAAACTTAATTGGATATTTCTCACTTTCGGCAAATCAGAGACGCCAAAACTACCCCGAAACGTGAGAATCGCTCAGGGATCGAAGGTTCCCGGAAATCTTCAAAGTTCCCGGAAAATTTCCGGAAGAGTGGAAAATTTCCATTTTTTTGTGAAATTTTGGAAAATTCGGAAATATTGACTTTATTGCGTTAAAATGTGATATAAGGAGGAAAAAATTTGATTCGAAAAAACAAAAACGGAGACACAGGTGAAAGGAACCAATTATTTATTTTCATGGTAACTAAGACCACCTCTAAATCGGTCAAAATATTAGCGATTTGCAACATTAGCGATTGGCATTTTCATTTTCTAGACCTAAGATTCCGCGTCGGCCTGGTGGGAGTTGGCTGATGGCCTACACTGCAAATGTCTTACTGTGAAAGGCTGCACCATCATGGTGGAGATTTTTTCCATAATACCAATGAAATTTTTGTGAAAATATCTGTAAGGTACAGAATTCTCAATGGTATGTTATGAAGTCAGCTGCACCACCATAGTATGTAACATTTTCACCATAATATGGAGAATCTTCATGGTACAACATGTAGAGTGTACACCAGCCTTTACTTGAACTCTCGTTCCTGTCCCGGTTTCGCTGGTGTGAGAACACAAGTACCAACCTGCCCTCGGCGCAGCGTTTGCCATTCCAACTCCTCCGACCGGAAGCGCGCATGAAGGCGTAAAATTCAAACTGGAAACTTTGATAGAAGTGTATTTTTGGGTAAATTAAACTAAAAAAGGTGACCCCGAGAGGGCTGAGGGTGAAATGTCGCTCGCACAATGTAAAATGTATCGTGCAATACACTAAGGAAAACGTAAAGACAGGTTTGTGTGCATTTATGAATCAAAAACTCAAAAACACCAAATTTTCCAATATTTCCTACTTTTTCAGGGGTCCGGAAATTTTCCGAAATTTTCCGAAAAATTTCCGGAAAATTTCCGGAAAGTTTCCCGCACTTCGATCCCTAAAAAAGGGGACCGACCCACTATAAATTTTTATTCGCCCCATCGGTAGGTCTGGTCGAGACCTTTCCGAAACTGTGCCGCAATCGGGTCTCCGTCACTGGCAACATCCTCAAAAAACGATTAAATAGGCCTGAATTCAACAAAATCCACTCAATCTTCAAAAAAAGGGACCGACCGATTAAAAAATTTTATTCGCCCCATCGGTAGGTCTGGTCGTGACATTTCCGAAACTGTGCCGCAATCGGGTTCCCGTCACCGGCAACATCCTCAAAACGATGAAATAGGCCTAAATTGAACAAAATACAACCGTTTCCGAGCAGTAAAAGCCATGTAATATATTGCCGGAGAAATCAGAAATGAAAGACGCAAAAGAGGCCCATTAGTTTGGCCTTCGGTCACATTGACCATAATGAACACAGATCTTATTCTTGTCAAAGCAGTCTTCAATATTTTCCGGACCTTGAATGCCGTTGACTGCCACAGTAGCCAATACAATACAAGCTATCTATTTGGGCAGTAATAGTACCTTAAAAATTAATGGTCAAAAGCAGTTAAATAGACCCTTCCAAAAAGCAGTACAGTTACTTCATTAGAAAATTTCCCTTTGGTCACCACGGACTTAGTAAAAATACTTCGGTACGCGCCCCACACATGCGGGGGTCTGGGGGCGGAGCCCCCAGCGAGCAGCGCGAGTTTCTTTACTATTGCTCATTTTAACATGCGGTTTGAAGATAAACCGATGCATCCTTCATTGCTTAAATTTGGGCGATGAAACCACCCTTACACACTTTATTACTTAGTTTTTCGTGCCTTTGCTTTGCTCAAAATTGTGCATGCGTTTTAAGGCCGAATATGTCAGGTTAGGTTAAACATCATTTGAACACAAATTTTTTTCTGGAGATAAAGGGTTTTGGGTACATTAAATATTCATTTTTTGGTTGCCGGACGTGCTGGGTGGCATCACTGAGATTCCAAACGCTATGAAATAGCACGCATGGTGCAATGCACTGAGATATGGCACCATACGTGCAATGCATCCCGAAACTGCCCTATGCTTATGCATGCTTGAGGTACCTACGCCATTGCATTTCATGTGCAATGCCCAAGCATTGCACCAATTATTCATAGCGTTTGGTTTCTCAGTGGTGTAACAGTCACTTTTCCATTTTATTACAGCTACAGCAAACGCACAAAGTTTCTTTGACAAAGATTGAGACCAGACCTCATGAAAGCTTGGAACCCTTTACCTACTTGAACCACTTCAGCGGAAACTTACAAAGCGTAAATAAGAGTGTTTTGAACATTTGTTTAAACATTACAAATTTGCACTTGGTGTGAGCGCTTGGGAGAATCACGCTGCCACGCAAGCAAATGCATTTTGGAAAACACCCAGTGAAATTTTAATACTTCTGTCGAACCAAGATCGGCGGTAAATTCTCACTTCTGTTTCTGCCTCCCGCCACAAGTCACGAGTAAAATGCCCTGTAATGACAGAAATAAATGTTAAATAGAAGAGGACAAGCGGGGAAGAAGGACCACTGAAGTACTCAAAAGATAAAGAAATTCATATATGCATTTCAACACATTAAAACGTATCTTTCACTATTTAAAACACTCCGTCCCGTAAGCGCTGTAGTAGTCATGATCAGAACCGTCCCTGTTTTTTTTCTTCGGGAACTCTCTAGAAATTGCCCATGTCTTTAGGCTACCTGGGAAAACCAGGTACCGCTCTTGCCGTGCCCTCGTGTTTGAGCAAGGAAACTAACGGACCTGACTCAAAATTTTTGACCTAAATTTAGGTAGTAAAGCATTCCCTCCTCCAAAATTTTGGTTATGATTTAGACTCATAATACATCATTCAGGACTGCGATTGGCGCCAATTATGACTAACAATTGCCGTTGTTCACTAGCTATATCCAATTAAGACTTACGCCTGCGAGAGCGTGAGCGCGAGAGCGTTCGTCTGAGCGAGGAATCGGAGGAGTGGGGGAAGAGTTCCGCTCCAAACTCTTCCCCCACTCCTCCGATTCCTCGCTCAGACGAACGCTCTCGCGCTCACGCTCTCGCATAGGCGTAGTCTTAATTGGATATAGCTACTGGTAACACTAAAGCGTAGTATTACCCCCTGTTTTCAAGCGTAATCAGGTTCCGCTTGAAATCAAGCGTAACACGCTTATCCGCCAAGTTTCCCCCTATCTAAATGCATGGGGGAATTTCCAGAGTATGCTTCATCTCAAGCGTAACGTCTTCAAGCGTAACTTTATGCTTGACTCAAGCATAGGGTTACGCTTTAGTTTTACCAGTGTTAACGCTCTAAAGACTTTAAAATACTGAAGTTTGCCGCCTATAAACGTTGCATCTTACCCGTAAGCTCAGCCAATGCAGATGGATATAAGGAGGCAATCGGGTACAACGATGCAGGGTAGCTTCAAACAGATTTGATAACTATTGCAGCAGTACGGGCCACACTGCTTCTGGGTAGGATCGCAGACCTCGGCTGTAGGCAAAGTGTAAGAATGTGAACAACGATACATTTCACCGGAATCGTCCAATCCCGCACTCTGAGAAACTTGCGAAGAATGTATTCGCACCACGAACTACACACTAAATGTTTAGGTAGAATTTTGTACGTGCCACTTGCACGATTTTGTGCATGCGGGGAATTTGCATAATATTATGCGTGAAAATGCATAAATTTATGCAAATTCACGCACAATTTTATGCACGACGGCACACAAGTTTAAAATTATGCATCACCACGTACAAAATTGCACTGATTTTCCGAATGTAATAATGAACTAATTTAAAAAGCAATAACATTTTTATTGCATTAGTCGCGCCATGAAAAAGTTATTGCATTAAAAGTGCAATAATTATTGTATTGCATTAGTGCATTTATCGCATTATTTGTGTAGTTATCATTTTATCACGCCGAAACTGTGTTAATCTGGGCCCAGACCGGCCAAAACCTAAGGGATTTATTGCAATTTTTGTGCGATAATTTTTTTATGGCTGTCACAGATGCGATAATTTGAGGGAATCACACTAGCCTTTTTATCGCAGCAAATTGTATGAAACTTTTCACATTAGAAATACCAGTGTGTACATAAACATTTTGTGTGTATGAGGTTTTCACACTGCAAATCCAAGGGGCAGGCATGCACTTGTTAACGCGGGACACTGGCAGTATCAAGGGCAGTATTGCCTGTCCGCAGAGGCGGCCGAAATTCTAGACGCGTTTAGAGCTCCAGCGTCGCTTAACAGGACGCGAACCGAACGTGTGACAATGTATTCCTCGTTCGGAGAGCAATCCATTGCTGGGGTCACTTCTTCGGGTCGAGTGCCATTTAGCGACTCTGGAGCTCAAAACGCGTTTAGAATTTTAGCCGCCTCCAGCGGTCTTCTGGCCCACTGTGCACCCGTCACCAACCTTCTCTCTCCCTCACGGCTGGCACGGAGGCATTTCCGGGCGCTGGTCCGCCAGGGAGCGCCGCGACTTGGCGGTTCACCACGATGCAGAGGACGAGCAGCAGTGCAACGGACACGAAGAACCTCATCGCGCTGAACGGGACTGAGCACCAAATCGCTGCTAATTACGGAATGCCTGTCGAAGTACGTCCCAACTGTCAACAGCACAGCTGACTTCTCTCGACTGCACTGTGGCAAAAAAAAAACACAGAAAATCCTGTTAATTTGTTTTTTTGCCAGGATTCTCCGTAGCCATGGAGAAACCTCACCATAAGACTTTTAGAGTGCACATCCTAGTTTCTGGGACTTCTTTTGTCCCATTGATTATGCAATTTTAAGTACATCCGATGGTAATGCGATTTCGTAACCGCCTGGCGGGACCAATTGTCTAATGAAAGTACAACTTGCTGTAGGCGTCGGACAATATGTACCACGCCAAAACAATATTGTACACCACCGATGGATGAGCTTAAAATTGTAGAACTCGTGGGACAAAAAAAAATGTTCGGATAAGATGTCCTAAAATAAGATTTTAAGCATCGGCTAACTACGAAGGAAATCGCGGCACTAGTAATTGCTTCGTATAATGATGGATTTTGATTCACAACACGAAGCATTTCTTCGTAGATTTCACAAGACAATTAGTTTTCTTCGCGATGCTCCTTATGAGAACAGTTAAAAAACGCGTGAAAGTTTGTGATTACCTGTGGGCGCTTGGGTGAACCGGCAACTGCTGGCCAGGGGACTGGGAGACCTTATATGTCGTCTTGCTGTCGGTCGCGGGGTATGGGCGAAGCAAGCATTACGGTCTGATTGACTAAGATAAGGCTTTTGGCATTAAACAGCCAATTATTATTTGCGAAGCGTACGGGACCAACGCCCTGTCCTTATGTTACGCGAGCAGCACCTTTGGAGAGGGCCCCAGCAAGCACGAGTGTGTGAGTGTGTGTGTGTGTGTGTGTGTGTGTGTGTGAGAGAGAGAGAGAGAAGCTATATTCAGTTAAGGCTCGGCAGAGTCGGCGAAGCAAAGTCGGCGAAGCAAAGTCGGACTTCGGCGAAGTCGGCGAAGCAAAAGTCGGCGAAAGGGATGGCGAATAAGCGAAACGCGCCGCGGGTGAGCTAATGCGGGTATGAAAGCGCACACATTTCGGAAAGCGGAGAGTCTAAGGATCAGTTCGATATGCACCTTTTGTCATTTCAAGACAGAATATTCAAATATTACGCTCCCTAACCTGATCTGTTTAGCCTAGCAGACGACTGTACTGCTAACAGGTTAGGGAGCGCAATATCTGAATATTCCGTCTTGAAATGACAAAAGGTGCATACCAAACTGATCCTTGAGCTTTCCGCTTTCCGAAATATGTGCGCTTTCATACCCTAAGAATGCACCCGCGGCGCGTTTCGCTTATTCGCCATCCCTTTCGCCGACTTTTGCTTCGCCGACTTCGCCGAAGTCCGACTTTGCTTCGCCGACTTTGCTTCGCCGACTCTGCTGAGCCTTAACTGAATATAGCTAGAGAGAGAGAGAGAGAGAGAGAGAGAGATGGTGGGGCGCTTATTGGCTGAGCGATAGCAGTCAGTTGACCGAGTGAGGTTTAAAAAACACGCAGCCATAATACTTCTTAGCTCGTTGTACGTTCACTGCAGAGGGAGAGCAGAGTATGAACTTCACAGTTCAACACACTATTTGCCCATTTTCGGTCTCAAAGACTCTGAAGAAGGTTCGGAAAATGCAAAGTTCCATAACTGCCATTGTAAGTTTTTATTTGTCTTTAAGGTTCTGAATGGTCACGTACACAAACAAAAGAGTAGTACTGAGTCACCTCTTCAAATAGGTGAGTTACTTAGATCAGATTTTTCTCAGAAGTCAGCGAAACAAGAGTGTTGACGACACACTCCAAACCTTTGAAGACGTTTCGTTCTCATACTTCAAGTCAAAGCAACTGTACTCGGCAAGCATACACAACAGTGTATCTTCGCGACAGTGTAGGGTCCGGTCCAGGTGGACTGATTAATGTAATGAGACCTCCCTGGAGAGTGCCAAGGCGATAGCGATGCAACTTTGTAATGCACTTTATCGCAACGAGAGGCGAGGAGCCTGTATCCTTCCATCCTCCTCTTCCTCCGGTTCTCTCTCTCCACCTGCGGTCATCACCCCCTTTTGGTTGTGGGATTATAAGTACGAGTCCTGCGCCCTGCGAGGCCAGTTCGACTCCAGCCTCCGTCCACTCGCCACTGACCTGTACACCAGCCTGTGCCATGGCCTGTGAGTAAAGTGTAACTTCTCTCCACTGACTGTGTTCTCATTTACCCCTACACCAATGGTATTCCTCATAAACAGAACGAATACAATTGGTGGCAGCGGTAAACTAAAGATTTAGGCGTCCAACGGCCCGTTCAGCTCCCATGCTTAATGGCAGTTGACGCGCCGTGGACCACTCGAAGCCTCCGAATGGAACCCCTCCGCCATGCCCACGATTGTAGTGCGCGCGTTCCGTTACCGCTTGGTCCAGCCCACTAGAGAAGGAGTTTTGGAAACGCTTTTGCAATTAGGGGAGCCGTATGTACTGATTGGCCGTATGCGCACTGAAGCCCAAATCCTGTACTCGCAATTGACGACCCAGTCCCGGACGTGCGCTGCCAGATGGAGGCCGTGTTCCTGCCTACATGGTTGCCCAAGCGTTCAACGCCAGCAACTGCCAGCATAGCTCACTTCCTCAAGATTTTCTACGGACGCCTCGAACGCCATCTCGCCCGAAACGTGCGCTCAAACATTACAAACTTTGACCGTGCAATCGTGCCTCAAATGTTCTTTCGGCCGCAGAGTCGCCGAAACAGGACGCAGCCATCCAACCGGGACCCCTGCCCTTCAACACCGCCGTCCACGCAAGATATGCCTTCCTTGCCAACCTCAACTACGTCGTCTTCGACGACCACCTCTGCGCCTCCAACAGCTGCCCACTTGTCAACATCGACACCGCAACCGACCACGCCTTCCACCACGAGCCGGGCGGCGCAGCCTAGCTCGCGTACAACTTCGACCACGAAGAGGCCGACAACAACAACCGAAACGACAAAAACCGAAGGTACTGTTCCAACAACTGCTCTTTCAGCCGCCCATCGTTCACGCACGCCGCCCCCCTCTTCCACGACGGCCGAGCCCAGACTAGTGACCCAGTCCGCCTCAACGACCGGCGCGCCCAGCCCCGCGCCCAGGAACCAACCGGTTTCAACCAGCGCCGAGCCGGCGACCTCCAGCCCGTCGTCCGCTCCCGCTGGGCGGCCTACCTTCCCGGCGCTCCGAGAGGATGTCTTCGCGACAACCGAAGCGGGTGACGTCCCCGGTCGACGCCGCCCACCGCTGTCCTTTGCGGACCCTTTCGTCACTGTATCGACAAGAAAGCCAGCCTTCGCGTGGGACCCGTTTAAAAGAGAAAACACTGTAAATAATCAAAAGAAATCATTTATTAATGTGCCAGTTTTGAAGCCACTGTTTGAGGAAAAACCAGACCCAGAACAGTTCCCCGATTTTCCAAAGGAACTCAAAGAAAACCCAGACGCCGATGTCGACGAAACATTCGACGACGGTCATTTAAAAATTCAAGCCCCCATACAAGTGCTGCCGTTGTTGTTGTGGTTGTTGTTTTGGTTGTCGTAGTCGTCATTGTCACTGCAGTGGTTGAGGTCTGGTCCCCAATAATAGAATTTGCATGCGTTCTGAATACGTCTAATTCTTTTCTGATAGCGCTTAATTGGAAAGCCATTGTATTAATTTCCTTTAAAAGAGTAACTCCACCCCAAGGTGGACCGAAATCTGGGATTGGGTCACGGATTCGGTTCAAACTTTGTGGGTTCAATAGGTACCACTAGGACCTATCAACCCTAAAAGGAAAGTTGGCTAGCTCAAATAGAACCTGAGATATTTGCATTTTTCTAAATTTGACTAATTTAGCGGAAAAATGTCGCTTTCTGATTTTTTATTGGTAAAAGTTGTTCGCTTAGTTCTGGCTTATGTTTCTTCTTTTTAGTCATAAAAAAAGAAGAAAAATGGTGGTAGGCCAAGATTTGTACGTTGCTTGGTTTGTCCTATTCGAGCAATTTTGTCGAATTCATCGAAACTCTCATACCCAAAATACTCCACCTTGGATTTGACCCTGGTACGTCTCATTTCACTTCTTTTACTCTAATAAACAATTGCTATATAGTCCCTAGCACCAACAATTCCATATAAGCCAGAAAAATCAAGCACACATTTTTCAATTTTCTTCTTTTACCTATTTTTGGCGCTTTTGTCAAGATTGGGGCTTCTACATGAGTTAGGGTGATAAGAAAGATCCTGCCTGCCCTCAATTAAGATAGTATCGACACAAACAAAGAGACCCAAACACAAGGTGCACTAAAAATTTATAATGAAATTGTTTCGAGCAAATTTTTAAAGTTTACGAGGGGTGTGAGGAATTTAAATCGGAGGAAAATGTAATGCTTCAGCCAAAAGTGGATTTGTGGTGCATTTGTTAGCTTTCTCTAGTAGGTATGGTTCCCTTTTAACCATGAGAATGTTCCTCCTTGATAACCAGTGTTAAAACCCTGATATGGTATGGGGTTGTTGGACTTACGATTTCAACGTATTAACAAAGTAATGATCTATTTATTTAGGTTGTTTGCAACGTGTAAGCTGAGCCCCCTTAGTCTTAAGTCATCCGGTTGGTCTCAAATTTACAAACCAAATGGAACCAGGCTCAGTTATTGAGACTAAGCGGTTGAAGTTATATGTTGCAAACCTAAATAAATGGATCATTACTTTGCTTATGCGTTGAAATTGCAAGTCCAACAACCCCATACCAAATCAGGGTTTTAACACTGATTATCAAGGAGGAACACTCACATGGTTAAAAGGGCGCCACACCTACTGAAGAAAGCTAACAAATGCACCACAAATCCACTTTTGGCTGAAGCATTACATTTTCCTCCGATTTAAACTCCTCACACCCCTCGTAAACTTTAAAAATTTGCTCGAAACAATTTCATTATAAATTTTTAGTGCACCTTGTGTTTGGGTCTCTTTGTTTGTGTCGATACTGTCTTAATTGAGGGCAGGAACGATCTTTTTTATCACCCAAGCTCATGTCATTGACAAAAGCGCCAAAAATAGGTAAAAGAAGAAAATTGAAAAATGTGTGTTTGATTTTTCTGGCTTATATGGAATTGTTGGTGCTAGGGACTATATAGCAATTGTTTATTAGAGTAAAAGAAGTGAAATGAGACGTACCAGGGTCAAATCCAAGGTGGAGTATTTTGGGTATGAGAGTTTCGATGAATTCGACAAAATTGCTCGAATAGGACAAACCAAGCAACGTACAAATCTTGGCCTACCACCATTTTTCTTCTTTTTTTATGACTAAAAAGAAGAAACATAAGCCAGAACTAAGCGATCAACTTTTACTAATAAAAAATCAGAAAGCGACATTTTTCCGCTAAATTAGTCAAATTTAGAAAAATGCAAATATCTCAAGATCTAATTGAGCTAGCCAACTTTCCTTTTAGGGTTGATAGGTCCTAGTGGTACCTATTGAACCCACAAAGTTTGAACCGAATCCGTGACCCAATCCCAGATCTCGGTCCACCTTGGGGTGGAGTTACTCACATGGATGTTGGTACAAAAATCAGATCATTCGGCTGTGAAATTTTGAGTAGTACATTCTGAGTGTTGATGGTGTACTTCCTTAAATTTTGAGAAGAGGGGGAATCGGAACTGAGATCTT